GATCTCTTTTACACTATGTAAGCCTCAATTGTGCGTATGTGAACAAATCAATCAAGAGTATACCATACCGAGCTATGCTGAAGAGTTATACGAGTATTGATAGGCTTTCTTTGATAAGTTTCAAATAAACCAATCAGCTGATAGATTCCCGCACCAAATGCCCCAAGAAARGCCAGCATCCAGATGATACGGAAGAATAGATAAGTGGACCCAACAACYCGGCCCAGCCCTCCCCACGAGGTATCCTCACAGAAATCTTTCAAAATCGTCAGAGCTGTCTCTTCCTCTTTCTTTCTRCGGTCTTCCTCTCGGTCGCGTTTCCATGACGGCTGGCGAAGCATTTTCTAGGCTATCTGTTGAAGAGAAAATACTTTTTTACATTATTGCTGTAGTTTTACCTCTCTCCCTCCCCTCCCTCCTCAAAAACTCAAATTCCCAATCTACGTGTATTTCTACTAAACGTCTGAGGAACCGCGCGACATAAAGCTGGTGAATGAATTTAAGATTTTCTTGTCGTTCTTGATGCACCGGTTCTATTACATAATACTATCAAAATTGAAAGTGGAAAACACAAACTTTATTAAATGTCTTTGTCCAAGATTTTTTAGGTATGAGTTTACTACAAGAGGCTACCTGGTCGGAGCTAAACTTGAGTAAGAGTTTCTTTTATTTTTCATGCAAGGAAAAATAAAAAATACGAAAACACAGTGGAATACCAATGCTTTCTGTGTGTTTTTCGAGATTGCCGACCTCTAGTTCCCAGGTTTATACATGTTCRAACGAGCTTTAAAATCCTCGCTCTTTGCCCCTCTAGGCAATCTCGGTTAAAAACGCTCAGAGCCACACTACCCCCAGTGGTCGGGGCGAGGGTTTCGTTTGACTAATACATTAAAACCATGGAATGTATCAAAATATATTCACGGCTGATATATCAAAAAATTCCGCAAGTTCTAATTTCGGAAAGTGTAGTACAGCTAGTAAAGATACCTACGAACATTAATATTTAATTACCCATTAGTCCTGAAATCCGCAGCTTTTCAACTAAATCGTTGGTCAAAGTCCATGATCAGATCGTGTTTGGGCATTTTCGTGTGATATTATTGACACTTGAGTACTAATAAACACGATGTGTGACATTCAGGGACGATCGACGTCACGAAAGAATTCTTGAACTCAAATAGAATGACACTATGCTTTTGCCAGCTACAGTTCATCCTTTCCATTAGATTGCTTGAAGCCATTCTTATTTTTTACGAACACAAACGGAACGGTGCTTGTAATGCATGCAATTTTACACCAAAAAAGACTGCACTTTATCTGAATTTCGATAATATTTTTCATGATAAACAAACTAATTATTTCAATTATTCACTCTTAAGCTTAACATTTGGTTATAAGGCCTTAAACTAGAAATATTTTAGTACTTTCAGTGTCACTACAGAACTATGTTCTGCAACTCGACGCGTAATTTGCATRAAATACATTCAAACCCAAAAACAAAAACAGGAACGCATACCTGAGGAGATAAGTCGATTCTGTGAACGAATTTTTCCTCGATTGTGATTGAAATTGACCTTGAAATGGAAGAACTTTATGTAGTTGTC